AAAGAAAGAATATTATAAAATCACCATATGACAACATAATATCCACATTTCTTGAAACCTGTAGCTCAGTGATAGTATCTTCTGCTCATAACCATAGGATCTACAGTAGTGTGCAGATTAATTGGAACAGGAGTAAATTTTGTGATTATCTCATAATATGTTGGTAGACAGTAACCATTTAGGGAGGTGCTACCGTCCTACCAAGTGAGTGTAAAAAGGAAGCCTGTATTTGTTTTACATGATGGTAGGATTGCTGGTGTCTCTTTTTCTGTCTCATAAACGTGCAAGATTTCAGGTACGTCTTGCTACTTCTACTTACACTTAGGTCACACTACACATACATGTACACGTTTATGTATACACTCATTTGAGTTTTCTTTGATTTTATCTTAATAGCTCTTGTTCTTACTACTTTTCGTTTCATATCCATGGGGAAGTGGAATAAGAATCTTTCCTCCGTAAGCCATGCGTGTTGTAAAAGTCAACTAAAATGCCGGGAACAATGGGCTAGTAACCCCTTTTACCGTATAGCCTACTAAAAAGAAAGAAGAAAACCGTTGAAGTGGGATGTTTGAATGTGCGTGGATGTTGTGCTAATGATAAGAAAGAGATGACTGTGGATGTTATGAATGAGAAGAAGCTGGATGTCCTGGCTTTAAGTGAAACAAAGCTGAAGGGGGTGGAAGAGTTTCAGTGGGGAAAAATAAATGGGATTAGGTCAGGGGTTTCAAATAGTTAGAGTTAATGAAGGAGTAGCAGTAATGTTGAAGGATAAGTTATAGCAGGAAAAGAGGGAATATAAATGTATAAATTCAAGGATTGTGTGGAGTAAAATAAGGGTTGGATGTGAAAAGTGGGTTATAGTGTTTATGCCCCTGGAGAAGAGAGAAGTGTAGAGGAGAGAGAGGGATTTTGGGAAATGTTCAGTGAGTGCATGGGGAGTTTTGAACCTAGTGAGAGAATACTTGTGGTTGGGCATCTCACTGCTGAAGTGGGTAAAAATGTTGTGGAGGGAGTAGTACGTAAATTTGGAGTGCCAGGGGTAAATGAAAATGGGAAGCCTTTAATTGAGCTATGTGTAGAAAGAGGTTTGGTAATAAGTAATACATATTTTATGAAAAAGAGGATAAATAATTATACTAGGTATCATATAGCACGTAATGAAAGTAGTTTGTTAGATTATGCATTGGTGGATAAAAGGTTGATGGGTAGGCTTAAGGATGTACATGTTTATAGAGGGGCAACTGATATATCGGATCATTATTTAGTTGTAGCTACAGTTAGAGTAAGAGGTAAATGGGACAAAAGGAAAATGTCAACAGCAAGTATGAGAGAGGAGGTGAAAGTGTATAAACTAAGGGAGGAGGAAGTTAGGGTGAGATATAAGCAGCTATTGGCAGAAAGGTGGGTTAGTGCAAGTATGAGTAGTGGGAGGGTTGAAGAGGGTTGGAATAGTTTTAAAAATGCAGTATTAGAGTGTGGGGCAGAAGTTTGTGGCTATAGGAGGGTGGGTGTAGGAGGAAAGAGGAGTGATTGGTGGAATGATACAAATACAATTTTTTATTTCCTTGCAAGTTTACATTGAGATGATGTAATTACAATAATGAGCTGCAGTGCAAAGAGAGCCACTATCATGCCATGGCCTTATTTGCAGACTAAATTTAATGGCTTACAGACTACTTAATACTAGAGAAATTGATCATAGTTTTTTTAAGCTGTACATCTGTTTTTTTATTTATAGCAGACAGTAAGTTTACTCAAATTACAATCTGGGGATATTACATTGGGACAAGGTGAAGGTATTTTGTAGGTTGCATATATCTTTTTGAGTCACCCTGTCTCAGTGGGAGACAGCCGGCCTTTTGAAAAAAAGTCTTAGTCTGGCTTAATTAATGTATTTTGGGTTCTTTTCTTTCCATAAGAGTTTGCTACCTACTTCTGGCAATCATCTAGCTGTGGTGTTACCCTGCAACTCTCATCAGTGCTACAGCAGCTGTTGTTCTGTAAGGCTATTCCTGCACATGTGCTTCATGAGTGAATGTGGTTTTGTCACATTCTCCCCTTTAGTTCATGATTACTGCTGAAATTCTTGATGGATATTACACCTAGGCAGCATACAAGTATTGTAACTCTTAGAAAACATGCTGATTTTACTATCAGACAGATCACCAAAAATTTGAGTCTAGCAGTCAACTGTTGGTCAGGTTTTGAAGAGAGCTGATGACACTAGTGATTGTGGAGCCCTGTGTTGAAGAAGAGGTGGAAGAAAACTTAAGACAGCCCCTCCTGATGACAAGGTTATCATAAGAAATAGTGTTTACCTGGAGTTTACTTGGAGAGAGTTCCGGGGGTCAACGCCCCCACGGCCCAGTCTGTGACCAGGCCTCCTGGTGGATCAGAGCCTGATCAACCAGGCTGTTACTGCTGGCTGCACGCAAACCAACGTACGAGCCACAGCCCGGCTGATCAGGAACTGACTTTAGGTGCTTGTCCAGTGCCAGCTTGAAGACTGCCAGGGGTCTGTTGGTAATCCCCCTTACGTGTGCTGGGAGGCAGTTGAACAAAGATCTCTAGAGAGATTTGGTTTTAGCTGGCATAAATGTTGACTCTTCAGCTGTTTGACAAAGGCTCCTTGAAGTTGGCAGAGCTGCCAGGAAGCTGATAAAGAAACAATTATTGACTGCTGCTATGAAGAAAAGATGAAAAACGGCTGCAGTGGGCACTTGATCATAAGGGATGGATGACAGATGAATAGAGAAAAGTTGTATTTTCAGAAGTACATGGGTACAGATCAGTTGTAGTGAGACGAAGTGAAGGCAAACCTCTTTGGAATAGACACATTAAAAAAGTGCCAAAACATCCCCCTAAGATGTTTTGGGGTAAGTTTGCTGCTAAAGGCCCCAGATGGTTAATTATTGTTGAGGGCGTGATGAACAGTGACAAATACAAGGCAATCCTGGCAACTCATTTGCTTCCCATTGTTGATAGAGGCTTTCCTGATGGAGAAGACATTTTCTAGCAGGATCTTGCTCCATGCTTCACTCCACAAGATGGCAGTAAAGCAATTGCGAAGAATTACAGACCGATAACACTAACATACCATATCACAAAAATCTTTGAAAGGGTTCTATGAAACAAAATTACCACCCACTTTAGATAGCCATCAGTTGCACAACCTATGGCAGCATGGGTTTAGAGCAGGTCGCTCCTGCCTCTTACAACCACTGGACCACTACGACATGGTCTTGGATGCTCTGGAGGACAAAGTGCAGGTGTAGTACACACAGACTTTGTGAAAGTCTTCGACAAATGTGATCATGGTATAAGAGCACATAAAATATATGATAAATGAATAACAGGGAAAGTGGGTACATGGATCTATAACTTCTAACAAATAGAACACAGAGTTATAGTAAACAGAGCAAAGTCAGAGGTAGCTGCAGTGAAAAGCGCTGTTCCACAAGGTACAGTACTCGCTACCATCCTGTTCCTCATCCTTGTATCTGACATAGAAATGTAAGCCACAGCACTGTCCTTTGCTGGTGATACCAGAATTAGCATGACAGTTTCATCCATCGAAAACACTGCAAATCTCCAAACAGACATCAGCCAAATCTTTAAATGGACTGCAGAAAGCAATTTGACGTTCAGTGAAGACAAATTTTTTTCATACTTTGGGGTGTCAAACGGATTAATTTGATTTCCATTATTTCTTATGGGGAAAATTAATTCGGCTAACGATAATTTCGGCTTACGATGAGCTCTTAGGAACGAATTAATATCGTAAGGCGGGGGTCCACTGTATTTTTAATAAGTGGCATACTGCGCAGTATACAATTAGGGTAATTGACATGTATGAAGTACTTTATAGAAAGCCCCTTGTTATGCATTTCAGATAGTCTTGAAAGTAACTAACAACTGCTAGACAATGAGACATATAGTACATGAGAATAAGAACACGGTAGAACCCCTGTATACACTGATTCGATATCCGCGGTTTCACTTATCCGCGGTTTGCTGTGACCCAAAAATACCTCTTAATTTTGCATAATAATGCCTCTAAAGCACAAAGGTAGAAAAACTGGTAGTTCTTCAAAGCCTAAGAGAAGCCGTGAAGTACTTCCAACATTTAAAGTGATAATTCTCCACTTAGTATGCATAATTTTTCAATTAAACTTTATAATAAGTATGTATAAGACTTACTTATAGGGTTTGCTACTATCCACGGTTTCAGTATTCACGGCCGGTCCTTGGAGCATATCCTCCGTGGATACAGGGGTCCTACTGCACTTACTCTATACTGTATTGAAGGAATTCAGTAATTCAATAAAAAATTCTAATTAATACTATATATAGGATGAAGCTAGGTACTTGAATTGATACAAAGAAAATGTTTTTCTAGTAATAAATGAGAGTTTAAGGAAGGATGGAATAGGAACAGGGACAATACTGAATGAATGATAGAGTTTCAGGATTTTCTTGGCATATTAAATTACTGTCAGGATCACATTAAGGTAAGGAGGAGTTCTTTATGAGTAGCTTTGAAGTGGTTGGCAGAGTGAAAGCCTCTGGAATCTTAAGGTTCAAAGCATTAAGCATGCCATCCATAGGGATAGGCAACAATGAGGAAGCACGATATCCACCATATACCGTATAAAATTTAAGGATATGAAAGAAAGGATTTTCTTATTTATTCTTCTTGACACTGCATAATCTTTCATAGCACCTCATAATTCTGTCATAATACCTCATAAATTTCCTAACCTCATCAACAGGTAGAACAAGGGGCCACTGCTATAAACAAGAGCTGCCTAAAGGATACTTGACAGTTCTTCTGGAATAGGTTAGAAGAGAAGGTAGTAAGTGTTATAACCATTAGAAATTTATAAAGACTTGATAAGTTAAATACCAATGCTTAGCTCTGCTCATGTAGGTACAATTAGGGAATTAAATATGCTTTAGTGTGTACCATATATTGCTGACAATATTAATTTTTGCAGCATCTCTGAAAGAGCCTTTGGAGGATTATATAACAAGATGGAATGGCAAGGTGCGGTTAATACGCAATAAGGAACGTGCTGGACTTATTAGAACTCGTACTACAGGAGCTGAAGAAGCCAGAGGAGAAGTAGTTCTCTTCCTGGATGCCCACTGTGAAGTAAACAAGAACTGGCTTTCTCCTCTCTTAGCTCCCATTTATAGAGACAAGTAAGATTTTATAATCTACTCTCACAGGCTCAAATATTGGTGTATTTGCTAAAAAAACAAAAAGGGGGAGGGGTGCAGGCTGAAAACAATTTTAGGTAGAATGGTAAGCAAGTGTCGTTCAACTTGGTGCATGTAATAGGTAAATAAATTAATATAGGGGTAATGGAGATGCAAGATTGAGCAGAGAAAGAATATTGTGCTACTAGATGGGGTTAAAGTGATGATATACAGACACTCTTCACTTAACGACTGAGTTCCATTCCTACACGTAGGTCGGTAAGTGAATTAAAAATAAAGATAAAGATTTTTATTTCTTGGCAAAAGTTACAATGTGTAATTACAACTTGGATTTCTTAAATATAAAGAAAGCCACTATCATGCCAGGACATTTTGGGCAGACTAAGCATAATACTTAAAAACTACTTAAGTCTAGACAGGATAAAAGTGGTTAATGTTTAACTATTCATTATTTTATCCTATGAATAATAAGATATTTTATCTTATGGATAACAGTCTTGATGTAGCACATAACTAATAACAGTATTAAAAGTAATATAATTAATATTGGTACAAACAGTACTATTTTAACCCTTTCAGGGTCCGTCCCGTAGATCTACGGCTTTACGGTCAGGGTCCAAACCGTAGATCTAGCCATGAGCTCAGCTCACTCTGATAAACTGTGAGTGGTACATTTGGGCCTGGATATGAGAGAATACATCTATGTGGTATGTGTGCACCACATAAAACAAATCCTGCAACACACTGTGTATAATGAGAGAAAAAACTGAGACCATGATTTTCGATTAAAACAGCGACTTTGCAGTGTTTTTTCGTATGTTTTTTATAGTTGTATTTGCGATTTCTTGGTCTCATTTGATAGAATGGAAGACATATTACAGAAATAGAGATGATTTTGATTGGTTTTAGCACTGGAAATGGCTTGAAACTGAGCTCAAAGCAACGGAAATGTTAAATTTTTGCCGATGTTCAGGAATAAACAAACGACCTCACACGTCTAATACACGCCAGCTGGTGGGTCTAATATACATTCACAAATGTGGTGATGATATTTATACAATTATTACAATATTGCATAACAGTAAATCTTCTATTTTTTGGTGTGAATAAAAATTCATTATGTGAATAAAAAATCAAAACAGAATTTATTTGTAAAGCCTCAAAACATAACTAATGAACAGAGGAAATGTTAGTTTAGTGCCAGGAATACCTACATTGTTTATTCTGGACCCTATTTTGAAATTGGAATATTTTGAACCTTGTGTTAAATTGGCCAAATTACCAATTTCCAATCTTCTTTATTTTGTAGTTGAAACAGTTGACTTGGCGATTTCTTGTTCTCAATCGACAGAATAGAAGTAATACTAGTGAAATAGCTAAGAATTTGGTTGACTGGAATAATGTAATTGGCCTAAAATGGGAGTCAAAGTCGGCAAAATCGTCGATTCATAAATATCGCTGACACATCAAAATTCGTGAGAGCATAATTTCGTCACTTTTCCATCAAATTTTGTACTTTTTGTTTTATTACCTTCACAAAAAGATTCTCTACCATTTCATAAGAAAAAATAACAAATTTTTTTTTTTTTTTTAAAATTCTTGGACACTGGGGCACCACTTCAGATTTTGGCCTTGGACCCTGAAAGGGTTAAGTAAGAGTTGATGTACTAATAGACTAGAGATCATATAATATTCGGTCAATTAATACGAGTTAGATGATTTAGCATAGTATTGGTTTGGTTAATCTTGAGAGACGAGATGATTTTAAGCATAACCCTAAATTTGTATGCCGGCAGAGGACTTTTTGTTGGTTCAGGTAATGAATTCCAGATCTTGGGTCAATAATTTCAAGTATACTGTACCACTAGTGGGATTGTGCCAACCATCTTTAGATATTGCAAATGCAGCAAACCCTGGCACTTTCAGCTCAAGTATAAATGAACTCTTCCGGCTAAACAATGTGCCTGCCTTCAATTTCCCTGACTCCATACCTTCAGCCGATATCCTCAAGATTCTTCCAAATGTTGTGAACTTCACTGCACCTGCAAACCTGTCTCCTGCCCAAGCAACTATTCCTGAAACTTTCACAACCACCTCCACCGTTGACAACACTGATTATTCTGCCTCAGTCACCACCTCCTACGTCTCCCAGCCTGTTGACACACCACCAGTACACCTCTCCATTACACCTGCCATCCCACAGTCTAATGCCAGCGCCATCATAGACTCGCCCTCTGAATCCTGTTCTGAGGAAGAGGAGGATGATGTTGATGACTCCTGCACCAGTTCATCTGCTTGGGATGACCTGACTTTATACACATTTTCTGCAGATGAGGACACCATGACCTGCACAGAGCTATAGATAGGGCTCTGTGCTGGATCTGCCAAGTTTGCCTATGAGACTCCACATCATTTCACTCTTACCCAAGTTCTGGAGTTCATCAAACCATTCTATTTTACTTTTGGTAACAAAATAAAATGTACCACCTCTCCAGAGCCAACTTCAAGAAGTTTGAGAATGGCTTTTTGACAAATGTTCCATGTTAAAGAACACCTACAACTGAGGGGCCTCTGTTGTCCCCACCTGCCTTCCCTTCTGTGAAGCCTGCTGTAAGCTACCCAAGAATTAAGACTTACACTAACTAAGACCAATGATTTCTCAGTCTCAGCCTCCTGCTCCTGTTTCTCCAGTCTGCCCCACGAGCACCTAACTGCTGGGTTAAGCCTTAGCACTTTCTCTTCAACTGTGGACACTTCCCCCAACACTATTCTTTGCCTGTCCCGTCTTCCCACAAGGGTCTTACCTAAACTCTCTTGTCTTGTCTTAGGTTCTTGTTTGCATATTGAGTTTTTACAAAGATTAATCTGGACATGGGGTGTGTCATGGAGATGATTGCTGATGTTATGAATGAAAAGAAGTTGGATGTCCTGGCCCTAAGCGAAACAAAGCTGAAGGGGGTAGGGGAGTTTCGGTGGGGGAAAATAAATGGGATTAAATCTGGAGTATCTGAGAGAGTTAGAGCTAAGGAAGGGGTAGCAGTAATGTTGAAGGATCAGTTATGGAAGGAGAAAAGAAAATATGAATGTGTAAATTCAAGAATTATGTGGATTAAAGTAAAGGTTGGATGCGAAAAGTGGGTCATAATAAGCGTGTATGCACCTGGAGAAGAGAGGAATGTAGAGGAGAGAGAGAGATTTTGGGAGATGTTAAGTGAATGTATAGGAACCTTTGAACCAAGTGAGAGAGTAATTGTGGTAGGGGACCTGAATGCTAAAGTAGGAGAAACTTTTAGAGAGGGTGTGGTAGGTAAGTTTGGGGTGCCAGGTGTAAATGATAATGGGAGCCCTTTGATTGAACTTTGTATAGAAAGGGGTTTAGTTATAGGTAATACATATTTTAAGAAAAAGAGGATAAATAAGTATACAAGATATGATGTAGGGCAAAATGACAGTAGTTTGTTGGATTATGTATTGGTAGATAAAAGACTGTTGCGTAGACTTCAGGTTGTACATGTTTATAGAGGGGCCACAGATATATCAGATTACTTTGTAGTTGTAGCTACACTGAGAGTAAAAGGTAGATGGGATACAAGGAGAATAGAAGCATCAGGGAAGAGAGAGGTGAAGGTTTATAAACTAAAAGAGGAGGCAGTTAGGGTAAGATATAAACAGCTATTGGAGGATAGATGGGCTAATGAGAGCATAGGCAATGGAGTCGAAGAGGTATGGGGTAGGTTTAAAAATGTAGTGTTAGTGTTCAGCAGAAGTTTGTGGTTGCAGGAAAGTGGGTGCGGGAGGGTAGAGGAGCGATTGGTGGAATGATGATGTAAAGAGAGTAGTAAGGGAGGAAAAGTTAGCATATGAGAAGTTTTTACAAAGTAGAAGTGATGCAAGGAGGGAAGAGTATATGGAGAAAAAGAGAGAGGTTAAGAGAGTGGTGAAGCAATGTAAAAACAGAGCAAATGAGAGAGTGGGTGAGATGTTATCAACAAATTTTGTTGAAAATAAGAAAAAGTTTTGGAGTGAGATTAACAAGTTAAGGAAGCCTAGAGAACAAATGGATTTGTCGGTTAAAAATAGGAGAGGAGAGTTATTAAATGGAGAGTTAGAGGTATTGGGAAGATGGAGGGAATATTCTGAGGAATTGTTAAATGTTGATGAAGATAGGGAAGCTGTGATTTTGTGTATAGGGCAAGGAGGAATAACATCTTGTAGGAGTGAGGAAGAGCCAGTTGTGAGTGGGGGGGGAAGTTCGTGAGGCAGTAGGTAAAATGAAAGGGGGTAAGGCAGCCGGGATTGATGGGATAAAGATAGAAATGTTAAAAGCAGGTGGGGATATAGTTTTGGAGTGGTTGGTGCAATTATTTAATAAATGTATGGAAGAGGGTAAGGTACCTAGGGATTGGCAGAGAGCATGCATAGTTCCTTTGTATAAAGGCAAAGGGGACAAAAGAGAGTGCAAAAATTATAGGGGGATAAGTCTGTTGAGTATACCTGGTAAAGTGTATGGTAGAGTTATTATTGAAAGAATTAAGAGTAAGACGGAGAATAGGATAGCAGATGAACAAGGAGGCTTTAGGAAAAGTAGGGGGTGTGTGGACCAGGTGTTTACAGTGAAACATGTAAGTGAACAGTATTTAGATAAGGCTAAAGAGGTTTTTGTGTCATTTATGGATTTGGAAAAGGCATATGACATGGTGGATAGGGGGGCAATGTGGCAGATGTTGCAGGTGTATGGTGTAGGAGGTAGGTTACTGAAAGCAGTGAAGAGTTTTTACGAGGATAGTGAGGCTCAAGTTAGAGTATGTAGGAAAGAGGGAGATTATTTCTCAGTAAAAGTAGGCCTTAGACAAGGATGTGTGATGTCACCGTGGTTATTTAATATATTTATAGATGGGGTTGTAGGAGAAGTAAATGCGAGGGTCTTGGCAAGAGGCGTGGAGTTAAAAGATAAAGAATCACACATAAAGTTGGAGTTGTCA